TAAAATTTATTTATTTATAATTATTATAGACACAACAAGAAATGATAGCCTGACAGCCTGCATCCCACCAAATTGCTTAGTAATTATTTAGTCTTGATAGTCTGATAAAGGAATCAACTGTTTGTTTGATATTTGAAGTAATTACTGGGATAGCTTTTCTAATCAAAATTTTATTTATTTTTAAAACTCTCATTCAAGAAATATGTAATTAATAGAGACTTACCTATTTAATAAGTCCATTTTTAATTTGTCAAAAATTAACTGGATGTCATCGATATCTGCAGTCGATTCTTGAGTCGTAGCCAAAGAATTTTCATCTAATAATAAATACCAAAATTATGCTAAAGACCTCATCTATTCAGAAAATTGTTATAAATTTCATAAATTATTTCAGTGTCTCAATAGCTTTAGATTATTTTAAAATTTGTCCTGTTTACATCACACAACATGGCTGACTTTCCTTTGTACACTCTTCTCATCTGAACATACAAAGCCATTAAAACATTATTCTGTAGTTAGTACTGTATAATTAAAAAAAAACAAAATCACAGCAGACCCACACCAGAATACGAGAAAAAGAAACTGTCTTAGTGTTTATAACAAAACTTACACATTTATCGCTAGTATTTTCAATAATTATTACATTATTGTCATCATGTAAAGAGAATAGAAACAGAACAACCACAGTAACTTGTATCACAATACTAACCAGAAATTTTTTTGACTATTACTGTTATTCAAATTATATTGTGTGATATAATGTTCCTAAAATGTGAAAAGGACTAATTAAACATACTAAAGTTGATCGTCGACCAGGTTCACAGTGGGACAGCCAAATGATGAGGAACAGAACCCCAATGTGTCTAGACTGACCACTCCCCAAAAAATTCCTGGGGTTGCTTGACCCGTCTCGATTTTATCCCGGGACCCAACAGCATTAGGCTGCCACCTTAATCACTTGGTCATCTGGCCATAACCTTTATACTTGCAAACTTACAGTCAGACAATTCAGAAAGTTATGATTTCCTTCAAAGTTTGATTCTTCATTGCTTTCTATAGAGCAATTGCATTTGAGGATTATTTTTTACACTACAGAAATATTGTTGTCATCAATAATAATAAACGTAAATAACTGTTTCTTAAATTAAGCTTTTTGTATTAAATTTAAGTATTGTATATACAAAACGTGTGCACAAGCCAAAATATTATGATGTAATGTAAAAAAAATTAGTAGTCAGAAATAAAATTAAAGACAATTTTATAAGATTTATATTATAATTATATAATACATATATTAAAATATAACACTTAAAAATATGAAAATAAATGAGCAATTATTTATTGTGACATCGGCACAATGCTGGGCTGCAGTTTTCAATCATATTTTTAATTTATTTAATTTAAATTATAAGCTCTCCACCTCAGATCAGTAGTGACTTGCCTCTGTACATCATACTTTTCCATTAACAATGAAATTGTGCCAGTCATCTATCTAACTCCTTTTGGAAGAATATTTTTGAATTGAAATAATGTGACTTTCGGATTGCATCAGATGTTAAATCGCAGCCTCATTTCCCTAAGCTTCCCATATCTGGTCTTGAATTTCATTTATCTAACACTGTTTTCAAGATTAAGNCAGATAGACAGGCAGTGTGCAGTTGCAAAAGGGTGAGAAACTTATGCCTGCATTCCACAGTCACCAACTCCTAAACTTAGTACAGTCAGGATTAAAAGTACTACAGTATTTACAGCTACTGGTGTAATTACTAATATAAAAGTAGTGTATTATACTTACTGGCTGGTCTTGGATAATGTGAAACCTCAGTTAATCAGGGCTTGGATTATTGAAATGTGTACATACACACACTCAATTTAACAGTATAATTGAAACTTTTTATATTGTTTACATCAGTAATAAAATTGGTTTATATAAATATCAACTATCTGAAACCCAACGTATTGATATTAAGCCAAAATTATAGCATATCAATAGTCCAATTAATTATGAAAATCATTTGGCTTAGAAATTGGTATAACTTTCTATTGAAATATCAATATTTAAGTAATAAATAATCATTTCTTTTAGTCAAAGTTTAGTTACCTCAAGTAAAAGTTTTGAATATCATCATCTTTAAAACAAAGTAGATTTCATTTGTTTATATCTGGTTAAAAATTCAATATTTATTATTTAATAATTATCTCAAATAACCAGTTGGTAGGGTAGGGATATGAGCCTCATATCCCTACCAACTGGTTATTTGAGATAATTATTAAATTAATTTTTTACAGGCAAGAAGCATACAACTATATTCAATATTTTATTCACTTTTGCATTTAGGATTTTAATTATAAACAATAATAAAATACTTAACATTAAAACCAATAATTTGTTTCTTCTAAACTAATAAGAGCAATATTAACCTATAAACACTATGTAATTATTCAAAATTATATAAAAATTATAGCGTTGACAATAAATATATACAACTAATTGTAAAATTCTATTGTAGTGATGATTGAGCAATATGAAAAATATATTTTATGAATTTCTAAATCTGCAAATATTAATTAAAGAAAAAACAAATATATTTTAAACAGATTTAATGAGTTGTTTTAGTTCAAACAAATATTCTGTTGTCAAAAAATCGACCAATTTGAGGAAATGAAAATGAATTTTCCAGTTGTCTCATTATATCTAAAATAAGTAAATTACATATCTTCCAACAAAGTAGCAAAAATATCCTAACAAATTTATTTGTAGAATTGAATGTTTATAATTTTTTTTTAATTTCAATAATTATTCTTTTACATTTAATAACAACACATGGGAAAAAATATAATGTTCTGTTTCTATTTTGAGTCGATTTGCACCTTCTCAGAAATCAGAAATCGAAAAGAATTTGTCATCATTTAGCAAAAAAATAGAGTATCTCTGACCAAACATATGTCTAAATATAAATTATTTGATTAGAAAGACATTCAATTCAATTATAACAATAATACTTACTGGATGGTTAAGAACAAAAGTATAATTAATATAAAATATTTTGAAGTTAAAAAAATTGCAAATTGATTAATCACCAATGCATTAACTTTACATGCCACAATTTCACTCATAATGGGTGGGCATGACCCACAAATGGAATTAACTGATACACATATTATCTATATATGTTACATATCTGTTTTGCACCCAAGGTGTCTCTTGCTCTTGATATGAAAGCATCTTTAGTGTTACACGCATGTGTTTTCAGTGTGTATAATTATACATATGACTCATACCTTGTATATTAACTCTATTAACTAGGGTATCTAAGAAGTGTGTGAAAGCAACAAAGCCTAAGAAAAAGATTGTAGTATTGACAATTGAGGTGAAAAAAAATTTATCACACAGCACAAAAGCAGTACATGTGTGACAGATCTCACCCAATTAAGATGACATCATGCACAGTTCTTAAGAACAAGCAAACAATAAAAGCAGCAAATATGGCTAAAGATTGATAATGTTGACCTCCAGGAGATGCATATTATTGACAAGTTGAACTGTCACTAACATTTATGGATAATGAGAAGCACTTAGCTGGTTATATTATCTCCAAGAGGATTATTTGTAAGCCAAGCAGTGCATAGTAACCTTAAGATATGCAACATCACCACTCCTCATTAAGGTATAGGAAATACAGTTTTCATTTTATTATACAGTATTTACTTTATTGTTTCCATGTTATCTATCAATCAATCAGGGCATTTAATAGTGTTATTTTTACCTTAAATTTTGTACATTTGCTGTTTAAGTTTATTGAAATAGATATTGTTTAGGTACTGGAAATGGATTAATTCACTTTCCATTAT